ATTAAATGTTTTATTTTGAAATTTCATATGCTCCATAAATGACGATATTATGTCTTTTTTTCCTCTTTCATGAACAATATTTTAAAAAGTCCGTTAATTAATTTACCTATTTTATGCATAACTTTCAGATCTGTCTCATTTCGTTTGGATAATATTGAGAAAAAACCTAAATTTACATTCATTAAATGAAAGTAAACAAATAAATAATTAAACCATGTATGGAATTCGCATAAACATTTCAATCAAAAAATGCAAAATTTTTTTTAATATATTCAGATATAATTTATCATTAAACAAATCTCTATTTAAGGCTGAAGCAAGTAGAATTCAATCATTGGCCGAAGTATTATTGGATGTTCAAATATAAATAAATCTATTCAAATTTTTATTATTTAAATATTTACCACAACTGAACAAGCCGAAGTGATGTCGAACAATCGGAAAATGTCATTGTTTAGCAGATGGAAACAACAAACAAATAATGAAGAACTGGAAGGTGTTAGTGAAGAAGAGGCTATCGAATATCGTGAAGCATTCAGGTTGTTTGATAAGGTAATGATAAAGTGATAAACTGGTTATAATACATCTTCATTCCTTTTTTATGAATGTATTTTTTCCTGGAATAAAGGAAAATTTAAAGTTTTGCAAATTTTTGTTTGTATTTGGAGTGTTTTTTTTTGCAAATAATTTTTATATTGATCATTTAAAATATGGCTTAAAAGCTTATGGATATTTTTTGTATGAAGAAAATTTCTATAGCTGTATGAATTAACTATCACCTTTTCATAAATGTATGAAATTTCCGTTGCTGTATGAATCACTTGTTATCTTTTTATTGATAAATAAATGATTTTAAAAGCAAAAAAATTTCAATTTTCGCATTTTGTTCATTACGGCAAATATGAAAATTGAAAATTTTTGTTTCTTTTTTTGGAGATGTTAGAATGGCTATTTTAAATTTAATGTAATTTGAGAAGAAAATATACGCGAATTATTGAAAAATGCAATGAAATTTAGTTTACATAGTGATATATATAGAAAAAACATGAAGTGAAATTTTATGAAAACTTAATCGAAATGATTAAATTGTTTAATAGAATTATTTATTGCATTTAAATTTGATATAATTCCATCCGTCTTTTTTATTTTTTTCTTTTCCCTCCCTCTTTCTCTTTTTTTCCTTCTTGCTAACAATTCCTTTGTTTCATCTCTTATCAATTCAATAATGAAAATAAAAAAGGCAAAGTAATTTAATGAACTTAAACAACACTACTGCAAGGCTCGTTGCTTAGCTTATGAGATCTAAAAATAGAAATGACTGATAAAAGGGGATCAAATGATTAAAAATGATTTATTGATGACTGATGAAATCGACAAAAAGTAATCATAATAAACAGATTCAGCGCATGAATTATTCGACTATATTAATTGATGCAACAAAAAAATATTTTAATTTTTTCATAATTATTTTAAATTTAGTGTAAATTCCCTAAATTACAAAAAAATTACATCATTTTAAATTTCAGGATGGTAATGGTTCAATATCATCAAAAGAATTAGGTGTTGCAATGAGAACATTAGGACAAAATCCAACAGAACAAGAATTATTGGATATGATCAATGAGGTGGATTTTGATGGTAGCGGTAGCATCGAATTCCCCGAATTTTGTCAAATGATGAAACGAATGAATAAAGTATTTTATTTCATTCTTTTGCTAAAAAAAAAAATTAAATATTTCAAAAATGGAAAAAAAGTGAAAAAAGAGGAAAAATATTAATACAGATTTCTGAAAAAAAAACAAACTAATTATGACGTAATTGATATTTTCTGAAATATTTATTGTTAATATTAAGATGAAATATGTTCCATGATAGGATAACATAGTCTAACTATGAATGCATTGAACATTTTTTGAGGAATCGTTTGTTAAATAACTTATTAGAAATTCATCTTTAAAACCAAATTATCAAGTTGAATAAACCACAATATCATCGTGAAATACTTGCATTCATAAAATTTGGTAAAACATTCATTTGTTCGCAATGCTCGTTTTGTGCAATTTTCTATTTTTTATTTCTTTTTTTTTCTTTCTTATATGTTATATTATTGAATTTCCTTTTTTTGCACGTATTAGCAAAATAAGCAATTTTTTTGTCATGCTAGAACTAATTGTACAATTTTTAACTTTTCTAATTTCACATTTTTTATCGACTGAAATATTTGTTTTCAAATAAAGGTTAGTGCTAGTGTTATCCAAATTGCTCTGTTAGTGTGTTATTTCGTAGCAATTTGAGTACCTTTTGTTTTGTTTTTTATCATCTTTTTACAAGTGGTTTTAAATTTGATCGTTTTTTTTTCAAAATCTTTCTTGGACATGTGCCACATTTTTGATAACAAATGATTGTACGAATTTCACTTATTACAATTCTTTGAGCGATATGAAATCAAATGAAAAATCTTTAAAAATGAGAAAATGACAAATTATCTGATTGGGTCATCTTATAACTAATCTTTGAACTTTTTTTTTCTGATAGGATAATGATAGTGAAATGATACGGGAAGCATTTCGGGTATTCGATCGTGACGGCAACGGATATATCACAGCGGAAGAATTTCGATATTTCATGACGCATATGGGTGAACAATTTAGCGACGAAGAAGTTGATGAAATGATTGCTGAAGTTGATATTGATGGTGATGGACAGGTTATACTGCTATTACCTGTTATGTGTTATAAAATTCAAAATAGAATGGATTTAAATTTAGAAATATTCAATTAAAATTTTATTAGGATAAATTTAAATTTAGAATTAATCGAAATTAAAAAATCTTATTAGGATAAAGTTGGAAATTTAGAAAAAATATGCACTTAAGATAATGATGATATATGAAAAGAATAAATTTAAAATAATAAGGGGTAATAAAAAATATATTTCATATCATATTTTATACGCAACAGAATTATTGCATAAAGATTTGATCGTAATTACAGCTCACCGATTAATTTTTTTTTTTTAATTTTCCCGGTAATTCCCATATAATTTACAGATTAATTATGAAGAATTCGTACGAATGATGACAACTGCATGATATCAAGAAAATTTATCCGTTTATTTTATGAATGGTTAATATTGTTTAATTTAATAATACAAGTTGTTTCATTTTACCTTTTCATCATTATTTTCATTCATTTCATTATTTTATAAGTTATTTTCAGTTCATTTATCAAATACATTGTTATTTTATTCCCTTAAGTCATTCCTTTAATTAATTCATTAAATTATTTCCGCAATTCATCCTGTATTATATATATATTACGCATTTTTATATTTTAATTTTCGAATATACCAAAAAATATTAAGCTTTGAACATATGGAAAATGCCATAACTGGAATTGATATGAGTGAAAAGCCTCTGCTTAGCGCGGGGGAAAAAAAAAACGCTCGGTACTAAACTAAATTCACTTTCATCACGGATTTTTCGACGATAAATCTCAACAAAACAACAGCTGATACTATCATTGACATCATTTTTTCATCTTCAATCTTTGACTTCTCTTCCGATTTTCGTTAATCAATTTCATTCAAAATTACATCATTTACAGTTTGTAAAATTACAATTCATATTTCAGATAAAATGCTTCACAGTGCTTATAAAATTGGATCGTCGATGAAACAGAACAGAGTAAAATCTATGCTGTAATTACATTATTATTATCATTTACTTTTTCGTGTTAGAATGCAGCATAAAAATAGTTTGCAATAAAAATTAAATTCAAAATTTTATATTTCATGGAAAGAAAAAAGAAGGAAAAGAGGATTATTTTGAATGAATATATGTTGTATTCAGTCATTTTTGATATTCTCAAAATGTTAAATGCATGCAAAACTGTCTTCTTAACTTATAATACTCAATTTTTGAATTTCAAAAACAAAAAGGAAAAAAGGCGGAAAAAGAAATGAAATTGTCAAATTTTGAAAATTTTTTACAAAAATTAAGCATTAAATTTTTTTTGAAAAATTAAATTAAAGTCTTTATTTCTTGTTACACAAAATGCTGTGCTATATGTAATCATTATTCTTTTACATAAGTTGATATCGATGCTGATAATGAAACGATGATCTCGCTCGATGCTTTTATCAGTATCGTTTCGTATTCTTTATCCATCAATCATATGCTTTGCCTATTTGCTCATTTACCATTTGTAACTAATTAATCATTTGTCGTATAATTACTTATATATCGGCATAAAATATTTAATGCAGAAATGAATTGTTACAAGTATTGTTTGAAAATTTTTGATCATTTCTTTGTTTCATATTTCAAAACGATAAATAACCGAATAATTTTGTAAAATTTTTCATTCAAAAATAAGCAAATTTTTTTGTTTATAAAAAATTACTTGATTATACTATACCTTTAAAATGATTTTCTTGTTTTCCTTCAATATCCTACTACCACTGAATATCATCCAAGAAATATTATTTCATTTAAAATTCCATTTCTTTAATGCAAAAAAAAAACATGCGCAAAAAAAGTTGTATTTTCACGACACATTGAAAATTCCGAAACACACTGACTTTGTCTTAAACTTTTGATGTAACAGTTCATTACAATATTTTTTTGGAACAAAAAAGAATAATTTTACTTCCTTAATTTACGCTTTTCAAATTTTATACCCTAATATTAAACATTTAACTTTCATAATCCCTTTAACATTTATGATTTCATTTCATAGTCAGCAAATGTTACAAATTTTACACCAATTAGATATTTGATAATTGACATTTTACGCATTTAATTAAAATTACAATCAATTTTATTACAGAAAATTATACTTGAAGCAAAACTGAAAATTAATAATCAAGGAAAAAAATCTGCGTAATTTACAAATCATTTGCTTGTTGCACAAATGATTTTTATGAAAGAAGATATAGGTAGTTTAGTTCTATGAATTACATCATTCAAATTATTCAAATTACAATTTAATTTAATTAAATCACTGTATTTGAATTCCACTGATCTCCACATCACCCTGTATCTGAACACCCACTATATCGTTTGGTTCTGATCGATGTACAAATCTCGTAAATAGCTCACCATTCACAGTTATCTATGTTTTTTTTTTTCAGTATAAGTAAATATGATCAAAAATTATGCAAAATAAACTTTTATAAAAAAAAAAAAAATATTCAACAAAATTCCACATTCCGTATATTTAAAATTTTGATAAAATGAAAATTTTTTGAAATAACTTTGAACTAATCCAAACTAATCCATCAAATCTTACAATAACAAATTTATATCCTTTCTTTCATTACTTCCGAATTCCTCAAACTTTTCACATCTGATTCTTTCATATTTTGCGGAAAATTCATTATCATACATTATTCTGAATAAAAAAGTATACATTTCATATTCTTATAATATTATTGAAATCAAAAGATTACCTGTATTGCATCACCTTCATTACGTAATTGCAAATCGAACATTTTATCTTTCGCGAATGGAAGTTTACCTTCTCGTTCCTCTTTACCCCAAACACCACCAATTAATGCATTACGTACAACAATCTGAATTTTATTTTATTCACTCATTCACTTCCATTTTCAACAAAAAATGATAAATTTCGGAAAAAAAAACAATGCACAAGAAATATTTATGACGAATTAATTAATAATAATAATTAAAAGATAATTTATGAAAAAAAGAAAGAATGATCAAACAATTTTACAAAATAAAGCAATTTTTTGCATGAAAAAAATTCTCATTTTTCGAAAAATTTATTGACTTTTTTCCTTCTAACTTATTGAAATTTAATTAATTAGCAGTTTATAATTGATAAATGATGATATTTTAATGACTTAAGACTTATAATAACTTATACTAGCAAGCTTACTTACGGCAATTAGTGATAATATTTAAAAGATATCATTTCACAATTGGCATTTAATTTATCTTGTCTTTTCAATTTACACCTAAACCGTTCCTATTTCTGATCAATAATTCGAATTTTTCTGTATTTTCAATTATATTTATAATTATATTTATAACAAAAAGAATTTGCTTAAAAGATTTAATTTTCTAAAGGCAAAATTATTCCATAAACTACAATGATGCCGAAAAATAAGATAGCGTATAAATTTCAACAAATATTATACTTTTTTTTCTGAAATTTAAACTATGGATAATAATAAGAAATATTGGAAATGACAAAAATAAAAATAAAAGGAAAGAATAAATCATTTCCAAACTTTTTCATCAAATCGTGGGTTGAAATGGAGAGCGATATCACCGTTTTGTTTCAATAAATTGATATTAAATCGTTTGCTACGTTTATCAGGCATTCCGGTAATGTACAACGATTTACCTGGTAATAAACCACCATCTACTATACCTGATTCATAGGGAACCGGCTAAAATAACAAAATTCTGGATGGATAAAAACAATGTGGTAGATTTTCTAAAATTTTATTCTTAAAATATTTCATCAATTTATTGAATATAATTTAGGAATTTGATTAATTTCATAATAAGAGCTACCAACATCTAAATCATTAACATGCTTTAATTAAGCCATCAATTAGGAAAAATAAACATTTTAATATTTGATTGATTTAAAAAAAAAAGAATAAAAACTAACATAATACTTGCCACCCCATTGTACATGATCGATAACTGTATCACCATCGATTGATACATAAGTAACCCATTGCAATGGTACTCGATAATCAAACATTTTCACTTCCTTCTAAATAATTATCAAAATTAAATTCATAAATTATTATCATACTAAAATTACACAACAGAACTGTGGAATAAAAGGATATGAGTACCATATGTCTAAATTTATTAGCCATCTTTTTTTTCTTCGGATAAATCACATACAAAAATTATATTAATTCATGCATGACTTTAATTAATATCTTTTTAATAACATTGTCTAAATGTTTAAAATCTCTAAAATAATGTAAGATAATTTCTTGCAATCTTAAAAAAAACTGCTTAAATAATTTCTTCTTAAAAAAAAGGAAAAAAGAAAAAGCAATTTAAACTTAATTAAAAAATTTTTTTATCATGTCGCCATCATTGTCACCCCCATTATCATCATTGTTTCCATTATCGCCATCATTATTTATTATTGTTATTGTTGTTTGTTATTAATCATTT